CATGCATGATTAATGATAGTCTCACGATCTCGATAGCTGGTACACTTAACTACGGCACTATCACTTTCCTACCAGTGTGTATTATAAGCACAATTTATATTTTCTTATTTGGTGATTACCATAATATTGTGAGAAACGAGCCGTAATTTTTCGTCATTTATGTCAGAATGTTAAAGTTAGAACGGGAAACTTACTGTGTCACACAAAATGTCCGCTTAAGAGCATATTGTATTCAGACGGCTGTCCAAGAGTAGCACTCTAATTTTTAACAGCAACACAATTACATGGCCGTTAAGAAGTTTGTTAAGAACATCTATTTATAACGGATTTAATATTATTATAAAATTGCACATTGTAAAATGCTCTTTGTATCCATATATATTAGATTTTCACTGTTATCATCATCAGAAATATCTTACATTTATAATATGAGACATCTGAATTATTCGTGAGTTGTGCAAGAGATCAGTTATTAAATTCATCCTCTCACTGAATAGCCTCTCAAATACACAGTTCACACGTACGCTAATGACTTTATTGTGAAAGCTGGTTTATTTATCAGCTTTTGCAAATTACCAATCAAAGCACGCTTACAGATCTTCCAAAGTTTTGTACAATCTCACTTAAATTTCTGTTCACTAGTTTGGGGCTTTGCTGCAAAATCCCATATTGAATCACTGTTCACTAAACAAAAGCAGGGAATACGAGCAGTTATGCCGGGCTACGTGAATTACTATTACAAGGACGGTAAGCTTCCGGATCATACTAAAACTACGTTTAAAGAGTACGAAATATTATCTGTAAACAGGGTCATCATAAAAAATGCTCTGACTCTGATGCACAAGATAACTTACATGCCTGGCCTTCTGCCGTCGTCGATAAAAGACTTATTTCCTCCCGATATACCAAAGTATGGCACGTCTTATGACGACAATATCGACTGGCTAACAACGTACTCTCAACCAGATCTACGCGCTAGTGTTCTGTATAAAGGTCCTATATTAGCTATTACCGAGCACAACATTAGTCGCATAACTTGCCCATCTAGCATTTTCTCAATAAGCATATATAAGAAATCAGCGAAGCGTGTAATGATAGAACTACAAAGCTCAGGAAACGATGAAGAATAATATACCCGGGCTACGTAAATCGACAAGATCAGGCACACAACAAATCAACTACCGAGAATAAACTAAGGAATAAATAAAACCAGACGGTTAGCACACTAGTCACTATCAACCATATGCCACTTTTTTCACTGCCCATTCACTGTCATATTAATAGCATCATATAGATAGCGCTAGCAGGTGCTGATAAGACATGGGCTCAGTTATTCTTTTTTGTTTTAACCTCAAGTAGCTTATAAAACAGTGCGTGTGATCATCTGTCGTATCAAATCAAATTATTTGTCACTATATGTTAATAAATCATGATATACAAGTTTTAATTTTTAAAGTTTCTGTTTTTGTTTTTAATGAATAGACGTAATCAACATTTTCAATTTTCATATTCACGCATATTAAATAAAATTATATTGTTATGTATTATATTATTTTGTAAACATTGGCCGGGTACCAAAAACCGGTCCCCAAACAACAAACAAAACCTCCTGAAGTTGGAAAATATAAACTTTTTATTTAATAATACACTCTCACTGCCGTTTTAAATTTGTTAGCTCTCGTTATCGCACTGCTTATCTTTTGATAATTGCACCGCTACTGCGCTGCTAGCTTGTTCTGCTGATCTTTACGATGGCAGATTTGGACTTTGGAAGTATCAATTACATGTGGAATGAGATGTTCACCTGGAGCAAAGAGACTCTGAAGAAATTTGGCAAGCCGTACGGAAAGTTAAAGGACATTGCGGATGCTAAGAACTTCAACAGACTGAATAAGCCGGAGATTGTCGATGTGTGTGGTCGATCTTTTGAGTATACGAACTATCTTATGGAGACCGTTGAAGCGTATAAGAATGTGTTGACCAGACTTCAGGGTCAGTTAATTGAGAAGCAAGAGCAGGTTATCGGTGTTCAGGCCGAGCTATCAGCTTGCAAGACTGAGAAACTTGAAGCGATGAAGAAAACTGTGTCAAGTTCAGTAGCTGATTCAGTGAAAGCGGAGTTCCAATCTTACAGCTCAGTCGTTCAAAGTTTTCCAGCACAGTCTCCAGTAATCAGCCCGGAAGCATTGACGTCTGTAGTCAAGACTATTGTTGCAGAGGAGGACCGCAGCAGGAACCTTCTTATCTTCGGTCTGCCTGAGGAAAAAGAAGAGAAGCTCGAATCTCAAGTCAGTGAAGTTCTGGAAACTATTGGCATAAAGCCAAAAGTAGAGGCTCAGAGAATAGGAAAAAAGAAAACGGTTGACTCAACGCGACCAGTTAAAGTTATCACCTCAAACTCGCTCATCGTTGATCAGATTCTGAGGAATGCCAGGAACCTGCGGCAGAGTGAGAAGTTTAAGACAGTTTTCTTGAGCCCTGATCGGTCTGTCGAACAGAGGAAGCTCCGGAAAGATCTGGTACAGGACATGAAGAAGCGGGCACTTGCAGAACCGACCAAAAAGTTTTACATAAAGAACGGGCAAATTTATTGTGCCGATGAGAGCAACGGTTGACAACTTTTTTTGAGTGTGTGTTTCGTGTGCTGTTTTGATATGTTTTGGACCATGTTTGTGAGGGACATATTGGTAGCTGTAGTTATTTTCTAAACAAGACTGAACAGTCTTCAGGCTTTAGCTGAGCTTTAATTTCCGACGCAGTTTTGTTGAGCCACTAGTCCATGATGGGGAATATAAACAATATATTTAACTCTTAATGGTCATAGCTACTTTTAATTTCAGGAATCATACAGATTTTAAAGTACGCTGGTACGATTTTTATCTTATTAAATTGCTGTTCAATATCTATTTTAGTAAACATTAACTGGGGTAGTAAAACCCAGTTCCCAAAAAAAAAAATCAATCAAACTGTTACTTTCCGCAAACAATGGATACTTTCAAATAGGTGTCAAATCTATCGATAAGTCTGACCTTCATTGTTTTCGAAAACTTCTTTTGTATTGGAAGCCGGGTTTATGGGACATTTCACGCCACGATGAATAATAACAGAACATCTGCTTAAAGTACCAGCTGCAACTATCCAGTATAAATGACACCCAAATCAAAGTTTAAAATTCAAATCTTTAATCTCTCTGGTCAGCTCACATTTATTTAGACCATTCTAAAGATGAAAGTACTGGTACTACTCATAGCAGCGTTGGCGCTCAGCGGGGAGGCAGTGAACACGGAGACGTTCCGCGGGAGACTGAACCCAAGAGGGACCCAAGTGGTGGAGAATATGATGAGGGGAATGATCAGAAAAGTCAACGACCTGATCAAGAGGTACACCAGGGTGAACAACATGCGGCTCGGACCAGCCAATCTGGAGTCATTCCAAGTGAGGACCTTGGACACTGCCAACGTGAACATCATCATGGAGAGGAACAGATTGGGAGTGAAGCTTACCAACGGAAGAGTACATCTCACCGCCCAGATTGCTGTCTACATCAACGTACTTATAGGAAAAATTAGAGTGGGAGGACAGTTCGACACTTACGGAGATGGCATCAACGCTCAGCTGGACACTGGACTCAGTGTAGCCGGAGGTAAGTTCAGGAGTCAAGGTATGGGATGTAATCTCCACGTTGGACGGCCACGAGTTGACCTCCATTGCGGGATCATCAACTATCTGGCCAACATGATTATCCAAGGTCTGATGCCTGGTGTAACCCAGGGAGTTTGCAATGGAGTGAAGAAGTACGGAGATGGGATGGTTAACAGTGTCTTCCAGGCTTTACCCACCAACATCAACGTTCTCAACCTCTTCCGCTTGGAGTTCCCCGTCAGGAACTTCAGGTCCTGGAGCCGACACATGGTTGCAGGAGTGGGTATGGAGGTGAGGCCTGTCAATAACAAGGGTGTCAACCACAGTGGCATCAGACGTTTACCTCTTCCTGAAGCTGAGGATGGTCATATGACATGTGTTTCTGTATCTGACTTTGTGGTTAACACTGCCTCCAGAACCTTCCTCCCACCTGGATCTTCCTTTGCTATTGATGTAGGGAGCATTCTGAAGATTTTCTTTGGAGAAATCTTCAACGATATGGTGTTTGTGCAAGGAACCCTCACAAAATCCCCCATGTTCTTAGCGAGGCCACAAGAATTCCATTTCTCTGTAGCAGCATCGGGAAGAATCTTGGACAAAGATGGAAACGTTGTCCCAGGAACAGAAACAAAGCCAATTGAAGTAATCGTCAGAGCACCCAACAACGAAAACCCCATGTTTTCTAACGTCAAAATTCAAGTTAAAGGCCCAATTGAACTTGACGTGAATCTTGACCTCTCAAAGATTGTCGACATGCTGCTAAGTATCATCGATAAAGCTTTCAAAGGACGACAGCTACTCGAGAAAAGGGCCTCTCATGCCGATCTTGTAAGAGTGATCAACGAGATGTTCCTTGGACGACTCTTCTACGGAGTGAGACTTGCTATGAGTACTAGACCTGGTGCAGTGATCGTCTGTCTGAGTGGCACTCCTAATACCAGAGCTACTAACATCGTATATGGTGCTCTCCGAAGATCATTTGGTTAAAAATGAAGATTTGAATTTTATGTGATTAACTTTGAACTTATTTGCTTATTCAATTTTGTTTTGATGTTTAAGTGTCACGACTCATAAACTTATGATAAAAATAAGGGCTCTGATCACATTCAGATTACAGGCCTAGTTTTTTTCTACCGGTATAAATTCATATAAACCTTTAAATTGTCAAATCTTTTAAGTTATTCAAAGTAATTCGTCAAAACAAATAATAAATAAACAAAACTCAAAACGTAGTATGCATTGTTGTATAACAGCTCTAATTGAAGGAAAAAAATCAACGTGATTAAAAAGTTTGGTACATAATATGTACCAAACTTTTTAATCACGTTGATTTTTTAATGTAAACAGTGTCCACAAACCGGCAGGGAGGTGAAGTACATGAGCTGATGGTCATGTCACATGATGCCTCTATCGTCACTAATCCCTCTCCAATTGCTACATCTTCTTGACATGATGACAGGTGGAAAAGCAAGCAAATCAAAATGAATGAAACTTGATGTCGTATCATTATACCTATAAATAGTTATTGTATAAAATATGGTACTTAAAAGTAAGTATAAAACATAAAACTATCTACTACATTATGCAAGAACAGCTGGAAACTTAAATACTACAACTACATAATATGCTACGTGCGTGTCTATAATGTTACAGTAGCAAACAAAATTTAAGTAATTATAAATTTCACAACTCTCGCTGTACTATGAAATGAAATGAAATGAAATAATGTGCTTATATCCCGCCCATATGGTTAGCTGCCGGCACAAGTGCCAGCTACTAACCATGTCAGAGCGGCTCTAAAGGGTGAGTGAAAAAGACAAGCGTGAAAATGAATATGACAATGTCGTAAATAATTTAAATTAGTCTAGGATCTTGTCCTCACAACAAATAATACCACTTCTGATATAATAGCGTCTATTCAAATCTTCCTTTGCCTTCTGTTTCATTTCCAATACCAGCAGATGGTGTTTGGTTTGCTCCTCAGATGACCGATCCGGAGAAATGAAAACTGTTTTGTGGTGCTGACTCAGTTTCAGTTTTTTCGATTTCAATAATATATCGTGGACACTGTTGGTATTTGAGACCGATATTTTGACAGGTCTGGTCTTGTCGGCTAATCTCCTTCCAATCCTGACAGCTTCATAGCGTGGTTTTACTTCGATTTGTTCAAACAGTTCGTCTACTTTATCGGATAGTTTCTCATCATCTGTCTCCATTAAACCGAACACGACCAAATTCCTACTGCGGTCCTCTACTATATAGTATTACAAAGATATTTTTTCTCGGTTTTTGGTTGAACTTAATTTTAGAAAAGGGATGTTTGTGAATTGAAAAAGTTGTTGCATCGTAATCAGTAATGACACAATGAACTGTGTGCAGACTGTTGTAGCTGGAAGAATGCTGGGAGTCCTTGTTTTATATAGGAAGTTGTCTGAGTGAAATACTTTCAAATATTAGAGCATTGGCAATCACTATTTGGGTGGAGCCGTCTACAAGGCGTTGTCCTCTGGGGGCAGATGTATGAAGGCCCCCTACTAGGGCCTGATGTGTAGCTTCCTAATATTTAACGCACGTATACTACATAATATTATTGTAACATTCTAACTTTCTAAACATTATACCAATATCATATTATTAGATTAAAACGGAATATATTAGTTAAAATAAGGTAATGAGTTCCTTTGTCAACAAAATATTTTATACGCAATATATAGGGATTTTGAAAGTTTCAGTTAATAAATACCGCCTTACTTAGGTGTTGAGGTCGAGGGCTCTAAGTGCAAAAAAACAACAGTTATAAGAGAACCTTGTTCAGGCAATTTAAAAAAGGACTCATTCAGTAACAAAAGTCAAAAAGCTTTGACATTGCAATTACACTTTTTCACAGTAATTAAAATGTTAAATGTGTTGCTAAATTGTACCTAATCTAATACCTATGTTATCACTTAGTATTCTACACAGCTTGATTTACCGCCACAGCCTCACCTTGTAACGGAAAGAGAATTACTTAATGGAATTAACTGGAGCAAATATGCCTTAATGCAGTTGAAGAAACCTTATGCAATCATTAGTGATATTGATAAGATAGAAATTAAGTTGAACAAGCCTGAGCTAGTCAATTTGTTTTATGACTTGTTTCAGTTCTACTGAGATACGTAATGAGATCATTTTACAGCAGAACAGGAATTCAGAAGCCAGCGTATTCTCTAAAATCAGGATATTAGAAAAATATAATGGGGGCAGCATTTCAAAAGTATTTAAGAAATATTTCAAAACATTGGACAGAAACTGAAAATTGTCCCAATTGTTGGGACAATACAGTTACTGCCCAGCTGGTCAAAGTGAAATATCAAGCTTAATTATTGTTGTTGACCAGCTTATGCTACCGCCAAGAATCTTTGGATGACAGAAAAGTTTTAAACTGTTTTTGTCTGTCCAGATCGATGTCTAGAAAAACGTCAAAACCAAAGAGACTTAGTCAAGGAAATGAAGGATAGAGCATCAAAAGAGTGTCAGGCTATATATTTCCAGTTCTATATATTACGCCTTTGGTTTATATTATAGGACCTTTGGCTTATATACTTTTACCTTAACTTTGTTATCTCTCAGGATATATTGTTATCTACATGTTCCTGAGTTAATACTTCGAATGCACTTTCATTATACTCAGTTGTTTATCATTGCCCCAGACTACAGGCCTACATTATATCCTCAAAGAATAATAACGGCAATTGAAATTCCTCATCTGGAAAGGCAAGAAAATTGCACAGTTTAAGAAGGTTTTCTTAGCAGCTACAGCAACCCTTAAACCTCAACAGCAGCTTGCATGTTTACCAGTTTATATTCACCGGACTGAGTGGGAGAAGCAACTTGCATTCACCGCATCAGAAGAGGCAGATTTGACGACAGTTTTTAAGTTCCTTGAAGATCTCATAGATGGCCCACCATGTCAGTTCGCCGAAAGCATGACATTTTTCAACTTGCTTCCATTTAATACTTCGATGATGGGATACGGTCTTATTTCTTCCAACTGGAGGTAGCCAGACGCGCTAATATCCCGTCTGATGTCTTCATCATGCGGTTTCTGACAAACGTACCCGAAGGGAAGAAGCTATTTGAGTGTAAGAAAGATAAAATCAAAAGCGAACTAGATGAAGCCAGTTTTTTCAAGGACTGTATGGAAAAGCTTCAAAAGAATTCAACAAGTTCAGAGGCTTTGGCTAGTGAAACATTTGCGTTCCAGGCAGAGCAAGAACAGCAAGTACCTCAATGGGCTCGGGAGTTACTGAAGGATGTGGATGAGCTTCGTTCAAGGTTATAAGTGAGTCAAATGACAGATGAGGAGGATACTGAAATGTATTCTGTCCATTCAGATGGCAAGTTTGAAAAAAAAGACAGACCAATATGTGATATCTGTAAGCAGACAGGTCATCTTATGTGACCAAAGAGTCTGTAGCTGTTGTGGTGGAAAAGGACATGATGAGGAGGGTTGCCCCTACAATGGGCCATTGTTAGCCCCAAGCGTTTTGGTCCGTCATACCTGCCACTCAGCATTGCCTACTGTAAAGTAGAAATTTTTCTGAGACAATAGAGAAACTGACCTTGTCTCACTAAATTCAACCACTTTCCATAATAAAAATACTAACAAATAAAGTTTTTTTTAAATAATTATATACAACCACTAAAGAATATTTCCTCAGGTTTACTTCTAGTTTTAACTAATTCGTGGTTTAAGCTCTTATTTTATTTATGAAAGGAATGTAAAATAAAACTTATTGTTTCATTGAATAGAATTTCTAGGTTCAATAAGAAGTTCCCTCCAAAGTGGAACAACCATGACAAAAGATGACTATATGACAGCAAAGTTGAAGGACATATTGAATTAGGCAAGAACTGGCATCCTAGACAGTTTGAAGAATGCACAGGGAACGTTTCAGAGGTGTATGGACAAGATTGTAGAGGAGTGCAAGGAAAAGGGTGCCTAGATGCGTATGTTGACAACCTGATTGTGTGCTCCACATCCATGTCAGAACATATCAATACCCTTGACATCCTGCTGCAAGTGCTGGAGAGCAACATCATGTCACTGAGAAAGGACAAGTGTGAGTTTGCATATCAAGAAATCCAATTCTTAGGATTCAGGATAGATGGGAAAACCCTGACACCAGGAACCAAAAACATTGCTAAGATTAAGGAATTCCTGGCTCCCACTTCAAGAAAAGAGCTACAAAGCTTCCTGGGCTTAGCCAATTACAATTGCAGATTTATTGGTTACGGTTATTCTGTGATATGTTTCCTGTTGAATCGCGTAATCATGCTGCTCTTTCGCTGATCATACCAGATTGGTCTGCCATTTGTGATTTATTTAAATAAGAACAGACGCTTCTAAGATTGCAGTGAGGAGTGTGCTAGAGCAGTATGATAGGGATAGTTCATTCAAACCCATTGGTTATCACTCCGAAACCCTCAACCAAAAGAATACTAAGAACTGGTTTGCTACGGAGTTAGAACTTTATCAATGAAACTAATAAATCAATGAAACTAATAAATCAATGTTTTAGCTCATTTTACAAAGTCAAATATTTAAAACAATCAAAATTGTATAGTGCTCAATTTGTAAATGACTAGTTGATCTTTGCTATTGGAAGTTGTCAAGGACTGGCAGCTAGCGGGGCAAGGAAGTTGCAGGGTAGGGGCAAGTTGTGAGAGTGCAAGAAAGGTGCTAGATCGTAGTACAACCTGATTTGTGCTCCACACCATGTCAGAACATATCAATACCCTTGACATCCTTGCTGCAAGTGCTGGAGAGCAAATCATGTCACGAGAAGGACAATGTGAGTTTGGAATCAAAATCCAATTCTTAGATTCAGATAGATGGAAATACCTGAACCAGGAACCAAAAACATTGCTAAGATAAGGAATTCTGCTCCCACTTCAAGAAAAAGCCAAAGCTTCTGGCTTAGCAATTCATGCCTCAAGCTCCATCAAAATTTAGTTTTCAGTCCTTCTAATGGTTCAAAATCTACCGATATGTGGGGACGAAAATTCCATCAACCCGTCATTCTTGCCGACTAGCTGACCTATCAACTTACAAACTTAATAGCAAGTCAATATCATTTACAAATGCACTATCCAATTTAATTTTTAAATATTCTTGTATACAAAACATTGTTTCTATTCATGTCATAGTTCATGTAATACAAGAATTATGTACGGACCGTATATTTTCATTTCAAGGTAATCATTTTGTTGCTGACACCAGGGTAGAACTTAATCGTCAAATTGTAGATTAGAGCATTGAAATCTTTGTTTCTCCAATACAAAGAATACAAGAACTGGTTTGCTACGGAGTTAGAACTTTATGGCATCACTTTAAGTGCCAGCAAAAAGTGTAAAGCTTTTTGCTATTATATATGAAAGGATCACGTTTTATTCGGATCATGAGCCACTGAGCAACATTCATATATTCATTCAGAAAGATCCCAGAGGGAAAATCAGCCGTTGGATATTAGAGTTAGAGAATCTTAATTACTGAATCTTAATTACTAAATCTTTATTCCACTGGGAAGTATTAATGAATTATTTATAGATAATGTATTAGATTTTATTAATTAATAAAATTGAATTTGATAAATTATTAATGTTGATGGAAAAATATATTTATTTAAATTATTTTTTTATTTAGTGCAATGATATTTTGTAGACACTTGTGATGATGTTATGTCATAATCTTTACTTACTTACTTACTTACTTACTTACTTACTAGCTGAAGGGTAACCTGGAAGCAGATTACTTGAGCAGAATAATGGGGAGTGATGCTCCATCTAATCAGAAGACCCTTCAGTGTTTTATTGTGTTAGGGGAGAATCTGCTCCGAGAGGCACAGATGACTAGAGACAAAGATATTGCTGAAGCAATAGAAACACTCCGTCAGGACAAAATCGCGGAGAAAAACTTATTCAGGCAATTCTTGAACATGCCAAAATCTATTTTGCAGTTTTCAAAAAACATTTTGACAATAATTTGGTCATGGTTGATTTTGTTTAAAATATCAAATAGACTTTATTTGTAAGCATATTAATTAATTTTATTGATGTGAACCTTTTGCCATGCAAATCAATTTAAAGAAAATTAAAAATTATAAACTGCAACCGTGATTGTAACTCAGGTATGTGATGACTTGTAGAGCACACATCGCTGAATAGCAATCGCAATGCAGGTCTCACCCAGGCCAGGTTTATCTATAGGGCTCTTTTCTGAGGATACACTGCCAGTTGTTTATGTATTGTGTTGTGTGCTAAGGTGCATCGTTTCATTTTTGGATATTTTGGTACGTCCTAAGCAAAGGGAATTTATATTTATCTAATTTTATGTAATTGTAATACTTTAATATTATAGTATACATTGACCAGTGTACCAAAAGCTGGTCCCCAATCGAATGCGCAACATGCACAATGCTATCCATTATTAATGGACTGACCCGCAGCGCGTGCTATTATTTAAAGGTTGGTAATTTGTTGTCATACGTTGTTGGTTGTATGACCCGCCGCGCACGAGTGCGCGGCTCCCCTGTATTGTAAAAACTTAGTGAAACGGAAATGGGCCAGGTCACAACGTGATACAAGTAATTTGTCAATGCACAATCAACAATGACCGAAACGCGCGCGCCAAGATGAACTCGTCGACGGCCAGTCAAGCTTAAATTGGGACAAATATTTTACAATTAGTATCAACCGTTAATACTAAGCTTTACTTTGTAGTGTATGTAATAAGCGCCATGAGTTGGCACAGATTTTTTGTCTCTGATTTTAATAAATTTGGTACCAAAAGTTGCCTTTAACTGTTAATAATGAAAATTCGCAGTGTAGCACGATAACATTAAAATGTATGTGGGTCTCCTGTGCATTGCAAAAGTGTACAAAGGACGAAAAATGGTTAATTTATTGCTTAAAATGCCTATAACTCCTAAAATATTGAATATTTTGAAATAATTCTTACAGGATCGTAATGAACTTATTCATTTTATTAATTAGACACAACTTTTGGTATCAAAATTATAATATTTAAAGCACGAAAATTTGTTCAAAATTTTACACAAGGGGGGACCCTTGTGTTCAGATTAAAAACTTTTGGAAAATAAATTCCTTTAAATCTTAAAATATTAGTACTAAAAGTTTCGTCTCAATGAGCCTACTTTTGCTCCAAAAGCCGCGCACCATTAAATATGGCACCTAGGCGAAACTCACTGATCTTTTCAAAAAGGTATGACAAATTTGGTATTGTGAAAATTCTCACAGGCTCTAGAAAACAGTGGTCCAAAATTTTTTAAATCCGAGCAAGTTTATTTTTATCGTGCACCCCCTAATATTGGCGACGCGAGATGCACCAATGGCCCGTCCAATGGGCCTCGCTTGTAAGTTTACAACCTACCAGGACGCGCGCCGAGTTGGACTCGTCGACAGTCCTAGCTGTATGCAACAAATATTTTACGAGTATCACCCGTTAAGTACAATGTTCAAATGAATTAAATGGCAGCGTTTCGCATGGTGCATGTAATTAAATGGCAACGTTTGATCGAAAACCTAATTTCAGCCTCCTGTGCCAGAGAAGCTCATTTTGACCTTACATCTGGATCGAAGGACTTCGCCGCTTCGACGCGCCGCATAAACTAGCATTCTTGCTTCGCATCGACGATTGTTGCTGTGCGTTGCAAAACAACGATTTTATTGATGGGTCGACATCGTCAATCAACCTTGACCATTGTTAATGATTTGGCCCGGCGCGCGCTACTTCGAAGAAATTTAGACGAGTAACATCCGTCAACAATCAACCCTACATGCATCATGCAATGGGGGGGGGGGGGGGGGGGGATTTGGAATCACTATCAGCGTCCAAAATTACAACGTTTTAGATTACTTTCATACCCTTAAAGCCTTTTCACAAGAATTTTTAAAAATTGAGGCGAGCAATTTATATAAGTGGAAGCGATTTGAAACACCATTTAATCATAAATAAAATAAAAATCTATAAATATTAAATTTAAGAATAACAACAATATTCATGCATTTATAACAAAACAAACTTTTTATTTCAGATTTGTAGCCATGATTTCAGTTCGCTCGCGCTTTAACAAAAAACTGACATTGATGAAAAGCTCGCAATTTAATCGAGCATGGATGGTTAATTCTCTCAATCAAAAGTTTTCGTTCATGGCTCATTTGACCGTGCGAATGTTGTGGGTTAAAATTATTACAATGAACATTCCCACGGGAAATGAGAATTAAGAAGTATATACAAAATTCAAAACGGGAAATCTTAAACTTTCTGGTTAAACGTTTTAACCTGCTACAAGTTGAGGCTTGCTGTTCAGGAAGTTCAAGTACGACAAAAAGGCACACATTTGGGATCACTGGAAAACTGATCATGATTCTGCAATCACCAAGTGTTATTTGAAACGTATAAAATTATCCATTCAACAAGATTCTGAAGTCAATTATCAAATAAGAAGGGTCTACATGACGCACTGCACATTATAATAGTGTTCTTACTGCATCAACAGCGTTATCAATGTCATACAGTTCCTTAATGTCATTTAGTGTTGTGTTACACTGTACCATTAGGGTCTTCTAACATGTTTTGTTGAATCTTCCAATTTCTCGGCTTTGTAAATCAGGGATATCGGCTGGTGAATGGTCGAGTAAAGATAAAACTGTTTAGTGTGGGAACACTGAACAGTCCTTAGCCGGTGAGCCTATCATCTGATGGTTAGAAGGAGTAGTGAAGAGATAGCCAACAACAGGATATTATGTGACGTCCTGGATACTCCTGAAGAAAAAATTTCATTAAGAATTAAAGGTGTTTCAAAATGTATATTTGGTATCTTAATTTTGTGAACCGGGTAATCATTTTTAGAACAATTTTATCTTAATTAGTTAATAATAATTGTTAATCAGAATCCCGATTTATCATAATCACATTATTTCATAAGATTAAGAATAACTAACTTGACAGAGCGAGAGCGTAGGTGTAAGGTCCCTGGGACACGGACAGTTTCTCGAACATGTCCATCTCGTTTATCCGACAGTTGTTGACACGACAGTCGGGATCTGACTCCACACAGAACCGCACGTTACAATGTACGTAAACCTGAAATAAAAAGTCGTTAAAAGTTAAGTTTTGTTGGAAGTTTATTTTAAAGAATCAGCTGGGTATAGTTAAATGAAATGAAATAATGTGCTTTGTGCTTGTATAATACCGCCCATATGATTAGCAACTTACACAATTGTCAGGTACTAACCACGTCAGAGCGGTTCTAAAGGGTGAGGTGAAAATATCCAGGTATAGTTAAATGAAAATCTTATTAATTTAGTTTAATTCAGCGTCTGTTTTAAAAATCACTTAAAATCTGAGAATTACCCGCCCGGAGAATCTGTTATCAGAGAACATAATACGATAGAAGCTGAATCTGGCTCTAGTGCCAGGTATGAAGTCTGCCACAGTGAAGCTGTCGTCTTCTTTGCACCTGGGGTAGAACTTGTGAGCCGACTTTCAACAGGAAAGCAAGTGTGAACAAGTTCGGAACTTGAAAGACTTGAGTACTTGATAGGTGATGAAAGACAAGCCATAAAATAGATTTCCAAGCTAAACTTTTTGGCTAAGTTGCGAGATAGTAAAATACGTATACTTCATTTGAACCATGGTGTTATTCATGTATTTTCTCGGCTCTGAAAGAATGCCAAATTGTGATAACGAATTTTTGTGCCGTAGCCTGAAACATCGACAACTACTACGAACTATTCTTACCCATTCTTGATGAAATAGTGAGGATGTGGATAATCAGTTTTTCCGTTGGGAGTTGCGAAGCAGGATTCCAATATAAAGCTGCTGCTATCGTTTGATTTCAGCTCCACGAAAACAGTCTGTGAAAATTATGAGGGTTAGTATGATCTTCGAAATTTTCCATAGTTTGACTGTCTGAGATGATCACATGGGAAAATATCACCTTAGAAACCGCATCTTCGCTTATAAATTGTAAGCTACAATTGTAATACACAGGAAGAATTATGGCTAGGTCTTCAAACAATGTATTGGTTTGGAAATATAACACGATAGAAATTATTTCTTACAAAACGTAGCCAGAATTGTACAGCACTGGCAGGGTCTTTAAAATTCAGTAAAGAGGAATTTGAGAAGTAGAATGTAGATGCATACCATGTATAATGGCTACGGGCTACCATGCATAGCATGTGATAGTTTGCATTCTTTAATCGTAATGGACATTTTTGAGAATGATTGAGAGTAATAACCGTGAATTGTTCAGTTTGTCCGCAAAATAAGTCTCTCAATCCTCTCCTTAACCTGTTTTCTAATCTTAAGCCTAATACTATACAAATTTAAACGAGTAAAAACAGATGATATTTCAATATTTCACCTTATTATTTCCAAGATATAAAACATCATGGTCCACTTCGTTAACAAAAGATATTTCAATATTTCACCTTATTATTTCCAAGATATAAAACATCATGGTCCACTTCGTTAACAAAAGATCCGAACTGTCTTGTGAAATGGCTGTCGCTGTAAAAAGACATCTCGATGGGTTCTGCAGGTGGTTTATCGAAAGGAATCGGGCATTCTATTTCTTGTATAGGATCGTATCCTCCTCCGGCTAAGCTTCTTACGTATATCTGTGATGAAATAATAAAGGGGTAATAAATGGGTAATAAAGGGGTAATAAAGGAATTATGCTTTTCTTGATAAATCTTTTGATTTCAACAACAGAAAATCTAAATTATTTGCATCATTTCCCGATTGACAAAGTGTGACTATGAGATAATAACGGTGGTGACACAGTTTTTAGGTTTGACCCAAAGAGAGAAAAACAATGGACTAAGTTTTAGACATGTCTTGATACTTTGATAGACTATCGGACAATTTCGTTTATACTTTTCTGTCAGCAAAACAGTGAACTGTCCAAACAAGCAAGATAAAAACAAAATAGCAAATTATCGGGCCAATAAAAGAGGAGAATACTGACCCTATTTCTCATGACCCTGTATTGGGCACCGGAGGAGGCATGAGGTTTCACAACTTTAGTTCCACAGTCAGGTGGATTATATTTTAGTCGGAGGGTAGCTGTGTGAGACCCCTGAGATCCTTCCACTTCGCATGACTTGTCTGGGGAGATGAGACTGTTAGTTCCAGGTTTTAGACATGTTGTATGAGATTTTGTGAGGCTTTGATTGGTTATCAATTGCTTTTAATTTGCTACAGGGTGGCCCATAGGTCAGCCCAAACGTTTACACGCGGACTTATAGTTATGGGCCACACAGCACCGTGTATATACGAATTCTTAGCTACACTTTATGTTTCATCAGCTTTTCGAATACAGCTCATATTTTTACTAAATGAAGGAATAACACGTACATACAAGGAACAGACTGCTGTTATTTATTTAATAAGCAAATTAATTTGTCTATTAAGTAAATACCTTCTGCAGTGAAATGAGGTGAGTAGTCTATTTCAGCACTGTAATCTATCCTGACACTCATGTAATCTTCACATGTTACATTTACTGAAATTGTACATTAAGTTAGGATACTATCAATGGACAAGTATATTGGAATGGCGAATTTAAAAAACAAAGCATTCGAAGTAAAATGAAACTATGAAAGTATGAAGTGGATTGAAAAAAGTTACAATTTTTACCTTTGTAAAATTTCTGTAAGATTTTCTTCTCCGATGTAGTTTTAGTTTCCATCTGTAAGGTTTCTGAGGAAACGAAATTTATCAAACGAATAATTTTGATCTCCACGAGGTTGTCACATATCAATTTTGTGATAAATGCAGCCTCTCAAGTCTCAATTTATAAATACAACTCTCAAGTCTTATTTTAGAAAAATAACTTTCAGGACTTCATCTAGATATCAAATTTTCAAGTCAGATAGCTTTATAATCTTAAGTTTTAATTAATTCAACAGTTTACCTATGATCGTGCGCCCATTTTTTGTTGATAAGGAAAACATTATCTAAATCAAACAATTATGTAGTTAATTAAACAATCGAATTAATAATTAACCTGTTGGGGTAGGTTGGGAGGTGGCCAATGTCTCATCCTGTGTACTCAGTGTCAGAGGCTTGTTGGATGGTCCGTCCGTAGTTGCTGAAATAGGAAATATTACAATTACAGTAACAATTAGCAATAAGAGTGCAATTTCAAAAAAAGTGAACAGTAAATACCGAAATACCGAAATAGTGATATAGCAAAATACCAAATACCTAAATAATCTAAATAATCTAAATAATCTAAATACCAAAACAACAAGACACGAACAATCTGCGCTTCCAAAATAAACAGTACTTTTTGTTTATTTACTCACGATCATCGGGCTGAACGGAGTCAGGACATCTTTGACAGGTTTTCTTACAGAGAAGACCACAGTCACTGTTGCAGGACTTGGTTTTGGCGCATTGTTCACATTCATCCCGCAGCCCGACATCCACACACGGTTCACTACCTGCACAGTAAAGATAACGTTAAAACGTTAAACACGATACAGACAACGTTAACATTAAAGAGGAGAAATTAGAAATTTAGAGTCTGGTAAAGCGGTCGATTTTATTAATTTTGTGAATTTGAATGAACCATAAATATAGAAAGTCTAAATGGCGTCATGATAATTCTTCCTTACTGCAAATATCGCTGAAGGTATGCTTGATGACGTCACACCTCCTGGATGCTAGTTGTCCAGTACAGGAACAGCCCCAGAGGGCACTGCCCTGAGCTAGGTTCCTGAACTGCCCCACTGCTGTCACGCACTTCGAGTTACATGTCGATATCTCGAACTTCTGAAAATGGATGTGCACGTTAAGGGGATGAATTATAATACGTGTTCATGAACGCAAACAGCTTAATACTTACGAGATTCAAATAAAAGATTCCAGCTACCAATGATGTTTTCAATTCTACAGTTCATCGGCTGTTAAGGCCAAAGTTCTGCACGGTTAGAGCTGAATCCCAGTTTAACTAATAAAACCGTTTCCACTTTATTTAATAATTATTCTCTAGGACTCACATTAGCAGCTTTCTTCTTGCATTCCTTCATGACCTTGTTGTAGCCTCTAATACAGTCGTCATTCCCGGTACACTCCATGAACTGTCGTTTGCAGTCTCCAAGAGGTCTGCTGGGGTGCTCTGTTCGATATGTCGGACTCTGGAGAGTGAGGTATCAGTAAATAAGTTTCGACTGTGAAAAGTATCCTGACATTATAATCAAAAAGAGAAATTAGAAATTAGAAATTAGAAAGATCATTACAAATTTACATGTGTCAGATCCAGATATTGTAGGATGTTGTAGTATGTGCTGTTTATTATTTTTAGATATTTCTTTATTCAGATTGGACGTTTTGTGTTTTGAAAGTTTGATTATATTGCCGGAATGATGTGATAATTTAGGGTTTTTTTTATTAAATACTTTTCAAATTTTACAGAGTACAGCAATAGATGAATATAAAATAGAATCGTTCAAAATATCGCCCCCATCTGTAAAATATGATGGGCACCCAAACACGGTAAACACATAGTGAACTATGTCCGCAGTAACTTGGACCCATTACATCGAATTAATCTAAATCCAAAAATTTATGAAAAACTATTTAATAACAAACAAATCCATGGTGAATAACTGTGGATATAGAGTCAAAATTGGTATGTCAATACGTCAAATTCCAGATACATAAGATACAGGTCTGAAATGGTCATTAATGTGTGAGAAGGTGTGCGGGTGAAGTGTGATATGATGTTGAAAGTATAGGAAGGTAGATAAAAAAAAATTAATAAAACAAAAATAATAATAATATGGGGAGCAAAGAGACTAGGCTAGACTGTTGTTTCACTATCCAATAAACATTTCCAGAGATGCTTAGTGACCTCAGCTTTGAAAAGACTAGTAGACACAATCTGTCTTACCTGTAAAGGGAGTCCATTCCACAGTATATGGGTTCTGTAGAAAAATGATTTTGCCAGTGGGCTATTTGAGGTACATGTGGTGTGTGAATTCTGACTTAACTTAGGTAAAATTGATGACATAATAGACAGACTGTCGAGGTGGCAACGTCTTAGTCGAGAAGTGCCCTGATATAAAGAGAGATAGTGAGGCAGCGATACAGGAATTAAATTGTTAAGAACTTTGTGGGAAAAAATAAGATCATTCAAGTCAAACTTTTGAGACAAAGGGAGAATGTCGACAAGCTTGCACTTTTTGACATATTGCTCAGGTGGATAACTGCGGCCCTCTTCAGACAGAATCCATTTAATAGCTCTCTTTTGGAGACTTTCTAATTTATCACTAAGTGATTTATTACAAGGGCGCCAGATTATGGAACAATTTTCGAATTGGCTACGAACCAGGGAGAGGTAAAGCGCCCGGCGACGTTTCTGATCAATGACAATATGGCCATCTCTTCTGACCATACCAAGTTGTTGGCAGGCCTTAGTATAAATTCTGTCGCACTGACTATTCCAACTTAGCTTGGGTGTAACATCGACTCCAAGATCTTTTTCTAACTCTACATACACAAGAGGAGAGCCATCAAGATTATATGCGAATGGAGGAGATAAAGATGGTTTTCCTGAAACAATAAGCACTTTACATTTTGCTGGATGAAATCGCATTTTGTTTCTTAGTGCCCAGTCAGAGAGATAGTCTATATCCATTTGTAAATTAGTATTATCAGAAGATGAATGTATTTTACGCCAGATTTTTGTATCATCGGCATACAAAACAATATCAGTATTATCCGAAAGGCCAGGAGGAATATCATTGATAAACAATACAAAAAGTAAGGGACCAAGAATAGAGCCCTGGGGGACACCAGAATTAACTGAGAGGGTAGATGACATCTCATTACCAATAACCACTCTTTGGTAACGGCCTTGAAGGTAATTGGTAAGAAATTTGAGAAGTGTACCATCAATGTTTTATAAGGTCTTTAGCTTATGAAGAAGGATATCATGATTTACAGAATCAAATGCCTTAGCAAAATCAAAATACACAACATGATTGATAATGTTTTCATGTTGTAAGTTTAATAATAATGCAATTATATATTTTTTACAATTGTCTCTGATGTTGTGATGACAAAGTATGTTATTTGTCCATCATGGCAAATTAAAGTTTTTACAGACTCGACATGTCTTATGTCGAGTCTCTTCTCCAGATTCTATAGACATTTCAAGAATTTAGGAGTTGGAGAGTCTGACTAGGCCTTATTATACAGGCGGGAGCCCAAGCCCCAGCAGTGCAGCTTGTCATAGATAGGAATAACTCAAACTATCTCAGTATGGATAACACTGAATCAAGGGTTTAACCTCTAGACACCCATGGTTTCACGAAATGCTGGAGAGATTGGTTTTGTAAATTAAAATGCCCAAAGTTTCAGCAGTTTGTACTCAAGCTTTAAAAAGGGTACAAGCTCTGGCAAAATGCCATCAGATACTTTACAGGGCCGGGGTTATAACTCCTTTGTCGTGACCGGAGCCGTGGTTATGTCACTGACCAAAGGTGTTACACTTTGAACTATTAATAAGTTAATAGTTGGAGGTGAAGGGTTTCGAGGAAATACTCTGGTATTCTATACTTGAACTTCTATTATAGAATAATTAAATAGCTTGAGCTGATGGACAAATAAAATTCCCTATTCGCAAATATTCTGATTTCTCATCCACGTGACCACGTGACCACATGACCAAGTTGTCATGGATACAGCTTCGTTAAAAGGAGTGGAGGATTACAATCTGTGCAGTTACCTGAGTCACCACAGTATCTCTTGGCAGGCAGGACATGATGAGATTACTGAATTTAGTGGTTTCGTGCGAGGGTGTTTCAAACTTACAGGTCCTGAAGATATATAAAAGGTGATGAACATTGTTAGAATATGTAAACATCACAGACAGGTCACTAGTAGCCGGTCACTAGACAGGTCACTAGTTGCAGGTGGTTTTATAGTCCTTCTTCTTTACCAACATTGTTTAAAAGTAGCTGTAAGCGTGTGCATAATATGTTTTACACGCAGATAAATAGAAAATTAGCTCATATCTCACGTCATGTGTTGTCCAACGAAGTTGTCCTTGAGAAGTTGGTTGGCTTGTGCACACTCAGGAATGCACAGCTGGTTCTGAACCGTGAACCCTGAACATACTCGGTCTCTACTCTTCAACAAAGGAAAGCAGTCGTTTTTCTTGTCACAGTGCGCTATCACCGTCTCGCAATTCACCTGAGAATAAGGTAAAAGTCGTTAGAATTATACGCATTAATGAATTACATTTTAAAAATTTCAAGATCCTGCAAAATGTTCTGAAAAATTCTAGTAAAAAAAGGTTCTTAGGTTTGATAGGTATCTAATTGTTTTTGAAACCGCACCGGCGGTAAATATGTCAGAATGTGTTATAACCTTGGTGAGAAGTAAGAAAAATAATTATAAAATATGAATTTGTGGATTAGACCCATCCAGACAAATAGTTTAACTTAATGCTTCAATAAATTTTTTTACATTTAGCTGCGTCTATCTAATCGAGGGACAATGAGTAGCTTAAAAACTCACTGTAAATACAATGTTGATGACACACATCACGATATATTAATGTTACCCAAACTCAGATAGTGATATTCTAACCTTCCTAATGTTCCTAATGTTCCCCCAGTCCCAGAGAGATAGAGATGTTAAATATCATCTAATGCCCGGTAATGGGTATCCCTAAAGATCCGGAATCATTAACCTCGCTTACACAGACCCTCAACCTCTATAATACAGTATACACCAACACATTAACTTTCTGATGGGCCAGGACGACTGACTTAAGGGCCTGGAACTGTAAGGACCCTCTTCGGATATGTAACACTATTTGAGCGGTCTGCCTACTTGTACCATGTTGTTTAAAAGTTTAAAGCATTATACGTGGTACCATGTCACGTGTTATTACCCTGTCATCCTGTCAGCTCGTTAGTCTGATCACTGTATGATACATCTGTTTACAGTTTAACACACTTAGTTTAACGGTAACTGTTAGTTAGACCTTCTGATGGGTGCAGCATGTTCATCATCATGCAATGATTAGCTGGGTTTTGGGATGGGGGTTTACTAAGTGGTATCAGGATGCTGGATTCTCTGTGACGAACATCAGGTTTAATAACGGCCGCCAATATTACAATTTAAGAAACGTGCGGTGCGTGATACTTAGAAATCAAGTTGAGGCCTGCAACAGCGGTATTGATGTAAAGGAGCAAATTACTGACACTGTCTACAGCAAGTGCAGAGACGGGGGAGTCTAGGAAAGTATAGGTCAACTTTCACCTATTGACTCAAAAAGTAAGGTAGAAGTATAATATTTGAGCTTTTTCGTAACATACGTGGCGGTTGTTGTCATATTGATATATTACTTGCGCCTACAGTGGGCACGGCATTTTGTGGACCTTGTTTTTATCTAAATTTATAAAATTAAACACAAATCTTAATTCTTAAATTCGTGTGAAAAGAGCTACATTTAAGTGAATATTATTAGAGGAGCAACTACAGAAGATACCTTAAATTTTCAGTGATAAAATCGATAAAGTTTATAAATTCTTAATCGAAAATTGTATCATTTTCTTTAACGCAACTTTTAACTATCACGAGAAAAAGGAAATGATAAAAAAGGCTGACCTTGCGAAGCGCCACGGTCGAGGAGGTCATTGTGATAGAGGTCTCGGAGGGGGTTGAGCTGAAGGTGCTGATTGAGGCGGGTTCAACTTGAGAGGGGGTCGTAGCTGCTATCTGGTCCCTACACTCTCCTGAAAACGGATAATTAGTTAGTTAATAGTTAAACAGTTAATTGGTCGTTCTGCCGATTGATTAATGAGTAAATGTGATGTAAGCGACGAATAATATGATCGCCTCTTGATCGAGTCTTGATCAATATTAATGTAGTAATGTGTTATTTCCACCATCATCTTTGCCCTTATAACTTTATAATGCTCCCCTAAACACACAGAACAGTTCCCACAACCAGTTCAAGTCCCCACTTCATATATTATCTCGTAGTTGAATGACTTCTTTTCCGCACCAATTAAGGTATTGGGTGTCTGCCATGGCTATTGACAGGAGCTATAACACCGGATATCCGTTGCCATGGGGAGGCACGTGCCAATACTCATGTCACTGGGTGATATTGTGATTCTTCTATCTCTTCTCATTTCGATTCCCATGAGGACAAAACGAATGTGGGATTTCCCATTTTATATGGCGTGTAGATACGATGATGTGCTGCAGAAACCTTTGTGCAGCACTTAAATTTATATATTCGGCAAAACTTTTATACTTTTTCTTCAAATATCATGAAGCTAATTAATCGCATACGTTTTTGTTTCGGAATTTTCACAGATTCAAGTCATGGATATATTATGAATCATAAAGAAATAAAGTTTTGAATCATCAGACACAGAAGCAATGATTCGTCACAGTTATAATAATGTGACAAGTATGACAATTCCACTAAAATAAGGGATGCAGTGCACGTGTGGACGTGTGCTGTGATGACAATATTTTCACTTTACGTCTGTGTGTATTCAAACAAGACACTACCTAACTCATGGGTTTTATAGTTAAGACAGAAGAAAGGGCGCGTCTAACTGACTTGTGACGTCAATTGTGGACTTAATCAGACTGTGTGTACCTCTAATAGACTCTAATTGAAGCGAGATTACGTGAAAAGTTTGAGTCCTTACAACTGCTTTGCGTTAATTTATGATAAATTAGAAAACAGTTTTACATAGCCCTAATCACTCTATCACACTATCATAGTATCACAAATATGCTGCCTGCACTGTTTGCATTCCCGAGTCTTGTGAAAGTAGAGATGTACGTTTGTGAATGCTAAGAATTTTATGAAAATTTGAGTTATGTAAAATGGTTTTACCTTTCTAAAGTTTTGGTTGATTAAAATTAAAACTGTATAAACGCTGGACAAAAAGAAGAAAATATCCGCTAATTAGGGTTAGGGTTCACCTGTCCAGGAACACCCTCTACTTGGAACCTGCCTAAAACTGTATAAAAGCTGGACAAAAAGAAGAAATAATCACCTCCGAGACACGATGTAATGAGTTTGCATTTCTGTTTGACACAATTGTGATCCCCCTGACAGTCACAGTTTTGGAACCTGAAAAAAGTTGAAATCAGTTAGTCAGGGCTGGATATTCCTTGTAGTACACTCATACAGCTATATAACTGCTTAATTACAATGGATTTGTTCAAGAATCAGAATTATGGTCAATTCATGGCAACTGCAAGTACACAGTTGTTGAAAGCCAAGGGTGACAACTGTCTTCTGTCTTCTCGATAGTCGGGAAGATAAAAGTTATCAGCATATTAGTGGGATAACCATTAGATTAGTTAGTTGCACGTGACAACCAATATATTAAGATGCCACAAATGATTCTTGGCTATTTAAATTCTTGTTTTACCCCAAATGTTTTAGTTACACGATATTTTAACTCGAAATTATTTCACACAATCTTCAGCAATTAAAAAGTGACGTTTGCTCGTGACGTGTACCCCATTAAAGGGCTCGTGAGACTGTACACTACAATTACACTACAATTAATACGTAAGTCTAGTTGCACCTCCTACCCAGACTCTAGTTTTCTACACTCATGTCATCGGCAAATTACTAAACGAACGGGCTCCTGGAGTTCCCAGAGCGTACGCGGCCGACTAAATAGGACGAGCTCACTTTCCGGGGGGAATACTGATTTTAGTCATCAGTTTAGAGTTTGAGGATGTGAACTTTGCGGTGACGGGGAGGATGTGAATACTGCAGCTGTGGGAATAAATTTAAGGATGTTAACTTTGAAGTCGAGCTGTCAATCGCTTCCGAGGAGGATATTGGAATAAGTGGCAGAATCAGTTTGAGGATATCAAGTTTGATTACGTGAAGTTCGGTGATGTGAATTCAGCAGCTGTGGGAATTAGTTTGAGGATATCAAGTTTGATTACGTGAAGTTCGGTGATGTGAATTCAGCAGCTGTGGGAATTAGTTTCAAGATGTGAGCATTGAAGATGGGAAGCCAGCATTTCCAGGAATTAGTTCGAGAATGTGAAGTCGAACAAAATCAAGTAATGAAATTTCAACAGCGTCGCTATAAAATGAATTAAGATTCCGGAGGCTTTTAACTTGTCGCAGGGTAATTAAAATGTGAAAATTTTGCTGGAACTACTGTTGAAATGTGTTGTAGTGAAGCGTACTCGTTTGTCAAAACTCGTTGTCAAAACTTACTAGAGAATTACAAGCCTGTCTTAACTAAAACAAAACGTAGAAGAACTTAAATGTCGTAACTAAAGGCAGCGGAACTAATCGTATAATGGATACCTACAACTGTAGCGTCATACCAAACCTGTTTTATCTAAGAGTATTCTAACTAAACTATAGCTATAAGTTAACCTAGTTAGTTAACCTAGCTAACCTATTATTATAACTGACCTGTCGTAACTGAAGGTAGGGTGTTTTAAGAGAGCTTTAAAGGCTCGTTTGCATCTCCTGCCACAAGAATGGCTCTGGGTATCATCCAGCTCCTGCTCGCACTCCATGAAGTAGGTGTGGTATAAGCTATCGCACTTTCCTATTGTGTCTCTGTTGCAAGAGTTTATCAGGGTAGAGCAAGCTGAGTCTGAAAATACAAAGGTTAAAGAATAAAATATTTTCATGAGCTCCGAAATTTATACCCAGTATTACAAGGAGAGTAGAGACTTCATATTATATTAAGATATTAGAGAATTAGTTATTACTAATTAGTATTAGTTAGTATTAATTAAGATATTAGAGTATTAGGACGTAGTGAAACTATCGGACTACGATGTATGGGGACTTGCCACCCCATGGCAACATTATAATATATCGACTCTGTTACATCGTTTCCTAAAACACCGTTACAAATTGAACTGGGATATTTTGCTGGTAGCTGATTCTGTAAACTAAAATTACCACAGAATTATAATCAATTAATTGATTAATTAATTAATTGATTATTTCCCCATAGTGTGGGTATTAGATGTGTACCTGATCTTTCGTAGTTATAAGCAGGAGCTGAGGAGTGTAACAAATTCAACAGGATAGCAATAAACCACATAGCATTCCTAGCTGCAATAATGAACATTAGGAATTTTTGAAAGCTGTTAAAAAGTTTCATTTTCTATCCTGAAAGTAAATCATAGAGTAATTAAAATGAGTCGAAAATAGCTTTTTTAAATTTTCAATATGTCCGGCAGGGTAACACCTTATACACCCAAAATGAATAAATAGCTTTTATAATTTGCCAAGAAATCTAGAAGAGGACTACAACTTTACTTAGCGTTTATTTTAAATTTATAAAGCTTAATATTTCTTCAAAAATCATTTATTGATTCATGAAGCTAATAAAATTAACCCTTCGAGGCTTTGACATCTCACCTCACAGCGTTTAATCCAAACACAACGATTTCAGCAAAGCTGTGAAACCCATATCACAGTTCCCTACTACACTAATCTTAGTACACGTATAACATAAAATCTTAAACGTAAATCAACTAAACGACCGAGGGTGTCAACTAAAGGACGGAGGGTGATGTCCGTTCCTTGGTGTGACTGGGACAGTTGAAACTAAGTTTTCTAACTTCTGTCAGCGGGTGTGAGGTGTCCCAACTATGATTTCATTTTCACTGAAACTGAAAATATAAATTAGGTTTTGCTTAACTTCACAAGTTGATATAGAATCTCAGCGGATATAATCCTCGCGAAAGATTGAAAAACACGTTCATTGATGAAAAACGTGTCTGGCATTTTTTCATGCAAAACGTTTAGTTTATCTTCATCACACATGTAATTTTAAAGGAAAGTATTTAAGTATAACTAATAACCAATGGTTTGTCAACCTGTTATTTTACACGAGCCAAGCAAATTGAAACTCAACATCTATTCTTACATTACTATAAAGTACAGAAAGAAGAAAATTACTGAAAAAAGTGCAGCTATCGTTGATAATGGCACTAAGTGACAGTCACGTGACAGTCACGTGACAGTCACACAAAGCTCAGTCAACACAAAAACTGTGAACCCTCCTCACATGACACCCCAAAACAAACTAGCGCTTGTAAACAGAGCAATAAACGTACAAACAGCATGGCAAAATACCGTTAATACAAGCGCAAAGCAATTTCCGCAACTTCCGGTTAGTACTTTTTAGCCAGCTCAAGCGGATGAAGCCATAGCAACCAGAAAACCCTCGCACCACCACTGCACCAGCAGCTGAGGCCGACCTCTTGCCCGCCGGATCACATCACAACATGAGATCATGTCTAGAGACAACCCTGGCAGGATCACAAGAGCACTGAAGACAAGACCGGGGTATGCTACTATCACCCTTCCAGCTCCAACTCGAGTCATGCAGTTGACTTGGAGACGGGGTCTAACCTCTGTTGATAGCTTTTATTGCTGGAGGTATTAGGGGACAGTCAATTTAATTAGCCGTGGTATGGTCACGTGGTGTTAGCGATGTTCTATGTGTTAATTTAAGACACGAGAGAGAGAGAGAGAGAGAGAGAGAGAGAGAGAGAGAGAGAGAGAGAGAGAGAGAGAGAGAGAGAGAGAGAGAGAGAGAGAGAGAGAGAGAGAGAGAGAGAGAGAGAGAGAGAGAGAGAGAGAGAGAGAGAGAGAGAGAGAGAGAGAGAGAGAGAGAGAGAGAGAGAGAGAGAGAGAGAGAGAGAGAGAGAGAGAGACTGAGAGAGTGGCTTGCTGCATCCTGAGGTTTGGCAGAGGCCAGGGGAGAAACCCGGAAGGCCGAGAGAGCTTGCAGGAGAATATGTTTTCAAAGTGTCAAGTGGTATAATTGAAATCCAGTTTTGGGACAACTCTTGGTTGTTTTTATGTGATGTCCAATTTTGTTGGCACAGTGATTTAATTCGCAAATTAAATCACTGTGAGAGAGAGAGAGAGAGAGAGAGAGAGAGAGAGAGAGAGAGAGAGAGAGAGAGAGAGAGAGAGAGAGAGAGAGAGAGAGAGAGAGAGAGAGAGAGAAAGAGAGAGAGAGAGAGAGAGAGAGAGAGAGAGAGAGAGAGGTTGTGCACAGTGTTGTTATACTTCGTACGCAGTATTATAGGCCTACTAGCTGCTATTTGACGCCGAACAGGCCTCTGTAGATTGGAGCTAGGGGTAAAGTACAAGTGAAACCAAGTTGCTACTTGACAGTTGACACCATATAGCCATCTGTAGTGGACATCGGGGTAAACTATACTGGTGATGTTCCAATTGCACGATAGGCTAAACTTACACGAAGTATCAGGCAGTGCCGGTAGAGTTTAAGGGAAAGCCGAGTAAGTTCGTTACCTCTTTGGCGCGGATTTTAACTGTGCAGGTTATTGAACTCACGGCTATCTGTCAGGCGGTTCGGCATTGGTGGGAGAGGCAGTCCGACAGCTTCAAACACATTGCTGGTCGATTTAGAAAATAAAATTAGAACAGTAAAATAAATTAGAACAATCGAAAAAAGTGACGGTCCGAAGTGGTACGTGGTTAGAGGGACTCATGGTCTTCCGGTCAGCAATTGCCGACTGGTCTTTTTTGACGTTACTTGACATTGGCTTCTACCATGCATTGTGGGTCAAGAAGTCGAAGGATAATTTTTGCGGGAAATTCAAAGTGAGTCAAAGAGTCAAAGCGGTTCAAAGAGGTGGCGAACAAAAGATAAGTGACCGATAGTCTTTATAACAACCGCCAAATATTTCTTATAATTATAAGCA